GGGGAGTAATACAGAATTAAAAACCCAGCTCCCAAAAACCTAGCATGTGAGAGGTGTGTTTATATTGAATTGTTGGATAAAGTTGTGCAACCTTATATGCAACCAAGCGTGGTCAGGCTGCCTCTTTTGCCAAGGATGCCACCCACATCTGTCTGGGTTATGCCTGCATCAGCTGTTTCCTCCAGCTCTCCACCTTGTGCTGAGCCTGCTGTTGCTGGGAGCTGATGGTCTACCTCCTGGAGCTCCCCCAGGCTCCCCGGGACTGAGGCTCTGCTCCTCACAACACCTTCTCCTCAGGTGCCACAGGTCTCCTGAGCCTGCCCATGCCAGAGACCTCAGTGGGCCAAGATAGTGAAACAAGCCTGGAGGTAAGTAAGCTCTGATTAAGGAAATGTTTTTTATCAATGTGTCTGTAGATAAAGTACAGCAGCAATTCAGCAGTTCCCTGCGAGCCACTGCCAGGCAAGGCTCCCACAGGCAGCTCCTTGCAGGAAGTGTGGAAAGCTTACTGGAAATATGCTGAAATCCAAGAAACACCATGTACAGACCTAGAGCTCTGGTTGCCAGATCAATTTTTTCATTAAGGCAATGGCTGCTTCTGAGAGTAGAAACAGAATTTAACATGCAATAGTAAAAACAAGATAATTTCAGGACTTCTTTAGGGACCAGTTTGCCCACTTTTATTAATGAGCTAATGAAAGCAAACCTTCCCACTCTATGGCTCCTAATGCTCTTTCTGTATTGGCCTATTTTTCTGCTTAAGGACAGGGAGGGACCGTTGAGTCACACAATCTCGTGCTCTGCTCCTCCCCTCATTTAAATATTAATATGATGAATTATTACTAGAGTAACAGCTGTGCACTACTCATATCACAGCGACATAACCTTCCCCTCCCTATCAGAGCACAGCTACTTCTGACTTGCATTTTCTGGTCGACCTTCTCACTTCTACTGGATGATTTTTTAAAAATTACTTTGTTAGTTCTGGTGTGGTATCATTAGGATAATTGTTTGTTCTGTTCTTTCTCCTTAAATATTAGTGATACTGAGGAAGTCAAAAGATAGCTTCAGTAATGGTAAGTTAAATGTCTGTGTGTATTCTCTTGTGAGATCTGTTTGTTTAGAGAGAAAGAAGTGTAAAGGATTAAGATCAATCTTTCTAACTAACACTTAAAACCATATCTCTCTGAGACTTACCAAAATAATAATACATTGTTTTTTATAGAAATAAAGTCATTCTATATTAGTTTGCTAGTGTCTCTAGGTAATTCAGAGAAATAACTAACATTGTACCTAGAAGTACTAGTGCAGTGCATTCTCTGTAGATAAAGTATCATAAGAGCGACTGTTAATAAAATCATGAGACAACTCTCTATAAACTGCTGAAAAAAAATATTTGGCATGAAAGAAGGGGAGGGAATATAAAGGACAGATAAGACACCATGAGTTAACTCAATACGATGGGAAATACCAAGGTAAAGCACTCCCAGGCAGATTTGGAAATGTTTGCAGATGTAAAGTTTTGTGGGGATAGGTCCTCCTCTGCTGAGCACCTTTTGCATGGCTCGTGTTTGTGAATGTGTGCAGGTTTTTTCTCCTTAAAAATGTCACCCCTTGGAGTACTTTCATGCTGCAGCTGAAAGAAGGGGCAGCTGAGTTTGTTGGGTTTCTGGACCAGTGTTGTGGACAACTTAATGTCAGCAGGAGTGTGTAGAAATCAAGCTTACTGGATTGGCTCAGTTGCTCATGTTTAGCATTGGATGAAACTTTTAACTCACAGCTCTTGTTACCTAAGGAGAAAATAACCTGAAATATTCTTACAAAGATTTTGAAATGCAATTTCCGTATTTTTATTTGAAATTTTTCATTAAAAATGTTTTAGTAAGTCAGTTTTCTTAAAGTCAAACATATTCCATTTGAATAAAATATTGTTTTATTGCTTTGTTGGGGTTTTCTAAATAGCTCATAAATATAATGAGGAGCCTACAAAATTAATCCCAATTTATACATTATACCCTTCTTTTCACACTCATGAGGAAATCAGTAGAAACTTGTTTCCTAATCAGCCTTGCAAGTGACAAGAGAAAAGGAGGCAGGAGCTTCTCCTGCCTGAGAGCTCTTCCCATTCAAAATCAGTGTGTGAGCCCCTGCCTGATTAGGGGCTGGTGAGAAGAAAGAGTGAAAGGAGAGAACTGCAAAACGTGTTTCTAAGTTATTGACTGCTCTGATGTCATGCTAAAAGTAGTGCTGTTGCTTCCTGAGTAAATTTTCCACTCTGCTTTTTTTCTGAACAAGTACTTACTGGAAACAAAGAGCCTGATCTTGACCACAATTCCCACTGTAGTCAACAAACTCCTGGGCTGAGATGCTCTGTACCACCTATATACATTTATGGTGGGATTTTTCCCCTCTGTGTTCTGCTCCTCTTGAAGTTTGTGAAAATAGGAAATGAATTTTTTTCTTCTTTTTTATTTACCATTCATAGTGAGGATTTTTAAATTCTCGTGTAATTTACTGTACCAGAAATTATTTGGCAAAAAGGCTGCTTTTATAAAAAGCCTTGACAAACTTGTAGCATGTCCCCAGATAAAATCTCATTTCAAACAGTGCCTTCAGATCATTATCTGCAGTGATTGCGAATGAACCTTGTAGCAACCTCATAACAACTGTCCTCGTGGTCAGAGGAGAAACCTGCTGTCAGAACTACAAATAATTTACGTAACCCAATTTAAAGCTCTAACAAAATGTTCCCATGTTAAGAGGATTGTTACACTCAACGTGTGAGATGAAAATACTTTCTGAAGGTCAGGAATGCACAGAAGATAGATTAGATCTCTCAAAAAGGAAAAAAAAATGGTTTTTTTACCAGAATTTTTTCCTCTGTCAGACATTCAACTTGGCACTCTGAGCAGCTTATATAAGCACAGCTTTATTCCTGCAAATGCTGTGTTTGCTGTGCAGAGGGAGAGGAGCCTCTGAGCTTGAGCTCTGCACATGGGGAGATAAAACTGAAGGTAGGCTGGGGACTCAGGCTATTATTTGCCACCATCACCAG